AGCTCGGCCCGCCAAACTTCCTCCCCCCCCCAGGCAGCGAGGGCTGAGCGGCTTACAGCTGCCGGCCAGCCAAGCCTTCTCCCGCCCCCTCTCCCTCCCTGGCGGCGGCTGTACTTTTGGGGGGATTTAAATATTTAAATATCCCCCACATTTTTTTCCTAAGTTTTCAGATTTTTCTGCACATCTGGGTATTGCCCCAAATGTGCAGGAAAATCTCCCTGCCCCCCAAGTGCCCCCGATGGGCAGATTTAGATATCCGCACGCAGGGGGCATGTTGGGAATTAGATATTTAGATTTATATAGGGCTTTTCAACTAAAAATCTCCAAGGCAGTTTAGAGTGCAGGAAATAACAGTAAAATCAGTTAAAAGCCAGAAAGATGCAATAAACGTTCAGTCAAAAACAGTAGATTCAATAAAATACAATGTGAATCAATGTGCCCTGTGCAGCATATTGCTGGATGTTCTTCCTACGAAGTCCACAGTTGATCCCTGCCTTGTAGGCAGGATGGAGCAGTTTTCTAACTGTGCTCCTGGAGAATGTTGTTTGGAATGCAGCAAAAGTACGTTTCCTCTAGCAACACCTGATTGCCTGACCTTTTGAGCCACTGTGCTGGACGTGCAATGCACAGGGAGACCGGGATGGTTTGGGCTAGAGCAGCCTGGCCTTGGATCAGGACACAAGCTGTCATTGGGTAGGTTGGCCCTAAGCAGTAAGAAACATAACATTCAGATGATCAAAGGCCGAAGAGCCGAGCCCACCCCTGAGAAGTCCAGGAGTTGCTGCCGCCGCTGCTGCTGCTGGACCCAGCGTAGGCTTCGCCACGGATGGTCTGCATGACTGGTCCTGGCTCTCCTCCCTGGCCCCACCACGTCCCACGCCCGCCCAGTAAGAGATACTTATAAAAGGCGGGTCATCATTTCAGCAACCTTTCTTTGCAAGTTCAAGGTCTCTCTCTGAAAGCAGGACTTCCTGAACCTGGCTTATTTGCTGACTGTCCCTCTTGTGTGTTGTGGAAACAGGTCACGAGCATCCTTTCAGCATTGTCCTCGGCTGCCTCCGAGACTCTCTGGATCACCTCCAGGGAACCGACAGTAGCAGGCAGCTGTCTGATGACAACGAAGCCTTCCTCCTGGATCAGCTCCCCAGGGATAGGCAATGTCAGTTCATCCTAAAACCCAAGCCTCACGCTCCAGTGCGACTGCAAAGAGGTACAGAGTGGTGTTGAGCAAAGGCCAGTTGGGATTTTGATGGACAACCTAGTGCTGTAGTATGCAGTTGCTGCTGGGGTGGTGTAGAAGGCCAACCCCAGAGGGTTTTGAAGGCCAGAGAGGTTCAGAGGTGGTCGGCCCTTGCCTGCCTCTGCCTCCTGACCCTGGGCTTCCTTGGCGGTCTCCCTGGCAAGGGCTAGCCACGGCTGGCCCTGCTCAGCTCCTGAGATCTGGCACGGTCGGGCCAGCCTGGGCCAGCCAGATCAGGGAGTTGTTGCTTTAGAGGAATATTTTTAATAATTTCTTGCTAATGCAGACACACAGCAGTATTTCGGAATTCACATGAAATGACTCTGGATACACAATTGAGCTGTGGAATTCACATTCAGCCACCTAGCTTTGGAACACATTGTGATTTGCCAGTTTTAGGTTAAGGGATACTTTTAAAAACTTAATTCTTTTATCCCATCGGTAAATTTTAAGGCAATAGCATCTTGTCCAATTAAATATATACACACATAGTTTTTCCTAAATCTGCTAAAACCAACAGCATCCATGAAATAGATCGATGGGGGGGAGGATTTAAGGCAGGTTTGAGTGACAAAGTTTAATTGAGAATTCTTTCCCCCAAACTTCATTTAGCCTCTAATTTTGGGCTTTTTTGTGTGTGGATAGGTGTATGCGGACATGCACACACATATGCATACATATATTTGGGGCATGATAGAGCACTTTTAAGTCCCGAGTTAATCATTGTCCAGCCCCATTGATTTGGCTGAAAGCTGTGGAACATGTGCTAAAACTTGGCTGCGTTTATTTGTTTCCGTTTTGTACTGTTTTACCATTTATTTTAGCTGCGGTGGCTCAAGTGGTTAAGACGCTGAACTGCAGGCTGTGGAAGGTCGGTAGTTCAGCAGTTCGAGACCCGAGTGTGCCACATGACGGAGTGAGCTCCCGTCTCTAGTTCCAGCTCCTGCCAACCTAGCAGTTCGAAAGCAAGAAATTGCAAGTAGATAAATAGGTACCACTTCGGTGGAAAGGTAACAGCGTTCCGTGCGCCTTGGTGTTTAGTCATGCCGGCCACATGACCACGGAAATGCCTTCGGACAGTGCTGGCTCTTTGGCTTTGAAACGGAGATGAGCACCGCAACCCTAGAGTTGGACTCGACTGGCTTTCGAGCAAGGGAACCTTTAGCTTTACCCTTTATTTTAATAAACTCAACTTTGGTCCCCTTGAGTCTTGTGGAGTTTGATATTAGTCAGGAAGTTTCGTGCCCTGTTTTAAGCATACCCACTCAGGAATCAGTCCCCTGGCAGTCCAAAACAAACAGGCTCCGGATTGCAGTTTATGGGCTCTCAGCTGGCCGTGATGGAAGCTGGAAGTTTAAGCCGTCAATAAACCTCTGCTTAGCCAGAGTGCTTCTGCTGCACGCTCCTTCTCAGGCCGAAATGGTGCATCTGGTGCTCTGGGACTCCAACCCCTGCTTATCAGGAGAGGATCATCTGCAGGTGGGAAGCACCAAGCAGGAGGATCATTGTTTAGCTCTTCTTTTCCTGATCGTCTCTGACAGGAAAGCAGCAGCCAGTGGCCCAGAAGCATTGGTCACACAACTTGACAATGTAAGATGTCATTCTGGGCAGAGACCGGCGTCAGAATAAAGTGTTAAGACTGGTTCACAATTTGTCCAGTTTGTCAAGTGGCTCTCATTTGCCGTTGGCGGCAGGGGAGGGGTTGGATCCAGCGGGGAGGAGGCTTGTTTGGGTGGGACAGGGGGTGGGACAACACGGAAGCCTCTCCCAGGGCCCTACGGATCATCAAATGATATCTGGTGTTACATCTAATGGAAAGTTCTTCCAGAAAGAGCATCTGGAAACTGAAAGGTCTTTTTTGCTTTCAGAAACTTGCCAGAAACTCACTAAGAGGAAGAAATCTTTGATTGACTGGGCTCTCCGCCGAAGTACCAGCACCCCAACGGGCAGCCCGGTGTCACAGTCCCCAACCACCCCACGGAAGCTTTTTGGCCTGTCCCTAACATCCGTTTGTCCTGATGGAAGCCTTCCCAAGCCAATCATGGTAATGTGGGGTTCTTGACCCATAGGCCTTAGAATGGATTTGGAGTCATGCAATATGTCCATGATGTTCCATGTTCAGTTCATTTATTACAGTCAATGACCACATTCAGACATCTCCCTTATATATAAAAGCCGAATGGTGGTGGCACTTCTCTAGAAAATTCCACACACTCTGGAATTGGTTGGCGCCGTGATGTGTCACTCAGAATCTGTCCCTATCCACTGGCTGCATTGCTTGAGTCTTGCCTCCAACATTCTAAACAGTTTGCTGTTCCTCCCCCCCCCCCATAGCAGTCAGAACACAGAGGTTATTTGCATATGCAGCCTCATTGGCCTTTGCCTCGGAACACAGAGGTCGTTTGCATATGCGACTTGATTGGCTTTTGCCTCTAACATTCTAAACAGTTTGCTGTTCTGAGGTAAAATGTGTCCCAATCTCCAGGTGAGGGCTGGAGATCACTCAGAATTACAACTGCTTTCCAGCTGGCAGAGATCAGTTCCCCTGGAGAAAATGGTGGGCCCTGTATCCTTATATGCTGCTGAGGTGGCCCCTGTATGACAGCCAATGTGACGTAGCAGTCAGGGCTTCAGAGCATGGGAGAGGCTGCAGGTGTGTGGGGGGTGGAAAGCTGAAAAGTGAGGGGGAACTAAAGGTAGGTTGATGATTGGCTGGGAAGGAGATAGGGTTGCCAACTCCAGGTGGGAAATTCCTGGAGATGTGAGGGATGGAGCCTGGAGAGGGTGAGGTTTCAGGAGGCGTGGGACCTCGGACAGGTACAAAGCCGTAGACTCCACCCTCCAAACCATCCATTCCCTTCTGGGGAACCATCATTGCCAATCTCCAGGTGAGGACTGGAGATCCCTCAAAATTACAACTGTTCTTTAGGTAGCAGAGATCAGTTCCTCTGGAGAAAATGGTGGACTCAGTGTTATTATACCCTGCTGAGGTCGCCACAGCAAATTGACAGAGTGTTCAAGGCCGCGGCACCCGCCCAGAGCCTCTTTCTAGAGATCATTGTATTTATTTCCACAACGGGCCTTTTCCCTAGTAGTACAATATAAAAGGTAATGGCTTAAAAGACAAATAACGTCATTAGGATATACAGGTCATCATATTTCACAAGTAAAATGTACCAATCATCATATTTCAGAATTTTAAAATATCATATATTATTCTAAAAATATAAAATCAGAAAGGGAGAAGTCCTACTGAACAGGTCTGTTGTTTGCTGTGCACTTTGGTTGCTTGGGCACAAAACTTTGCTGTTACCTTAGTAGTAGCTGGAATTTCATCTGCCAGTAGCTTCTCCAGACATGCCTTATCTGTCAGCACTATTAGTCCATCCAAAAAAGGAAGGATTGTCTTATTTATAATTTCTTTATAAAAAGGACAGTGGATAAAAATGTGTCCCAACATTTCCGCCTCACCTAGGGAGCATGGGCAGATCCTTTCAGTATGTGAGGTCTTCTTACATCTCCCTTCTAATACCATGGACAACGGCTTAACATCACATCCAGCCAGATCTGACTCCATGATGCTTTTGAGCCTCTCTGTCCTGCGCTTCCTATCTGTTCAAGTTGCTGCCTTCCTTTTGCCACTTGATCACCTCTGTTTTCTCTCTGCTGTTGATGGCCATTGCTAACACCCAAAGTCAGACTGCCCTTGCGATGTTGTAAGCAAACATGCGACTGGGCTCTGATCCCAGCAGGGAGCACCAGGAGCAAGTCCACCGAGCAGGAGATGAGGCAGGCAGAGGACTCTCTGGCAGGCGCGGTGTCTCTGTGGGCACGTCTGCAGTGCAGATTCTTTCACTTTCCTTGCTTCACTGTACTAGTGGAAAACTAAAAGCACAGGAAGTAGATTGTAAAGGTGCCTGGATGTCAGGGTCCTTAGTCAGGTTACTCAGCACAGGGCTTCATGAGAAGATAACTGTTTATTGGTAAAACCAGAAATGAAGACACGTGTACAGCTTGTGTCAGGAATGGCCGACAATACTAGGGTTTCTGACTTATACTAGAATCAAACATCCCCCTTGGTAAGCTTAAGCCAATGGATACACTTCGCGCGGGCGGGCAAAGCAAGCAGGCAAAGCAAAAGCTGTTAGCTTTCCCAGCCGAAAAATACTGCAGCTGGAACATCTACAAGGTCAAGCATAAGATAACATACAGTTGGTGAGCCAGGGAGAGCTGAGACAGAAAACGGGAGGGCACCCCTCCACATTCCAGACCCATGACAGGGCTACCTGACACTGGAGGACACAGGCACACATACCCTCCCTCCTGCCCCGCTGCATACTCCGACTTCAGTGGCGGTAGAGGTACTGAGGGTGGGGGCACTGCTATTTGGTAGGATGTGGTCCCTGGGTGGGAACAAGCTTCTTGACGCCAGCACACAGCGCCCCCTGGAGGCTTTTAACTGTAGAAACCTCTCCAATGAAAGGGCTGCTCATGCACAGTCCCCATGTGTGCCTCCACAGAAGATACTCAATGAACAACGGTTACAGGTAAGTGCAACCCTGTTTTCCTCTCCTTCAAGACCACTGCATTCCTAGGGGGGAAAGCTCCAGAATTGTATTCTCATCACAAAGAAAATGAATCCTCCTTGCCAAACGCTAGGAATGAAGTTCTCCTGTGGCTCACATTAATAAAAGGGCAACATGCATTAGGAGGCCTAAGACTTGACTTGTTCTTTTACACCATCCATGTTTCTTTGAAGGTCTTGTCCACATGGCGTGATAAGGTATGTCACTTGTGAGAACCTAAAGTAATATGTCTGAAATGGACATTAAAGCCGAGAACCATCTTTGGTAAACATTCAGCAGGTAGCTTTTCTCTCCTAGGATATTCTTCAGCTCCTCTACCACGAAGGTCCCTCTACAAGGGGCATCTTCAGGCGCTCTGCAAATGCCAAGATATGCAAGGAGCTGAAAGAGAAACTCAACTCTGGAGACGAAGTGCAAGTGGATCGCGAATCTGTCTTTGTTGCAGCCGCAGTCATCACTGTGAGTTAGAGCATATGTTAAGTAACCAAATAGCACTTTAAAGTGACTGGGTGTGCAAGAATGTAGATCAAGCCACATTTGCCAGCCTTTTGTTCAATAGCACCTTGATTCTACTCGATCTATTTTGACATTTTGAAAGCTGTGTAAGTCCCCCTTGCCTGCACTGAGAATAGACACATTCTTTTTCCCCCCAAAGGAGACCAACTACAGCTACAGTTATTGTCTGTTGCCTGCAGTGCACTTTTCTCTTTGCAGTAATGTTTACAACCAAGGCTCAAAATGCACTTGTTTATGTGTATATTTACATTATTTATGGTCTTTCTCACTTGCACTCAAGAGTGGGTCAATATAATCAACAGGATGGGACATTCAGTGAGGAAGGGAACAGGAATTAGGATTCTAGAACCAACCAGGAGTCTAAAAACAGAACTGAAGCAAACTGTTAACATGACATGATAGGATACATAATAGGACCCTAGTTTCTTCAAGCTGCAGACAGTCGTACAGGCCACAGTCCCTAATCATTTATCCTCGTAACCTTGTGAGTCATTAGGTACAGTGTGACTCTGCATAGAAAAGCCCTCCTGAATCATTCAGTTTTGCGTAGCTCATGGAAAGCCACAAGAGACTGAGCCTTCCGGACCCCCTCGGGCAGACCCTCACACAGCGCAGGGGCCGCAGCAGAGGAGGCACGTGTTGGGGGGGGGGGCTGATTTTGCCCATCTGCAGGGTAGGACTTGCAGAAGACCCTGCTCCAAAGAGGGCTTAGACTGGAAGAAGGCGTGTCTCAGAGTGGAGAGCTGGGACAGGCGGTAACTGTGTGGACTCAGAGCCTGAAGTGCAGAGCGAAACGTGGCCTGTTGAAAGGGTCAAGGGGGGGTGACGTGTGGAACTCTCTTAACCAGAAGATCTGTGGGCTTGAGACAGGCCAGGCTGGCTTCCACTTCTGTTGGCAAGATGATTTGTGTAGAATTGCCAGCAAATTTTGATTAATGCAACATTTCAAGGCAGAACATTTGAGGAACTCCCAGGAAAACAAAGAAGAGTTCCAATAAGACTCGCAGAATGTCCTGGGCTGGGAGGTGGGGACAATTCCACACACTGCTAAATTACCATCAAGTGCTTTTTGAAATGACACTATGAGATGCATTTTTTTGGGGGGGGGGAGAGACATCTGAGAAACGGAAAGGGAGGCGAAGTGCATTTCCCGAAGGCTGGCAGCATTCTGTGTGTGGTGGTGGGTGGGTGGGGTGAGATGTGTTCGCAGCCACACCTCTCTAGCCTCCGTTTGGTGTAGTGGTGAAGTGTGCGGACTCTAATCTGGGAGAACCGGGTTTCATTCCCCGCTCCTCCACTCGCAGCTGCTGATGTGACCTTGGGTCAGTCACAAGCTCTGGCAGGGCTGTCCTTGAAAAAGAGCAGTTTGTGTCAGAGTTCTCTCAGCCCCACCCACCTCACAGGGTGTCTGTTGTGGGGAGGGGAAGGGAGAGGAGTTTGTCAGCCGCTCTGAGACTCCAAGTGAAGGGCGGGGTATAAATTCAATCTCCTCCTCCTCCTCCCTCCTCCTCCTCCTCCTCCTCGCTCAGTCCAGCTTGCGGAGCAGACACTGACAAAGCCCCATTGGCTGTGGGGTGCTGAAAGCCAGCCAGACACAGTCCAGCTCCTCTGGGAAGCATCGCAGGCTGGCAAAATGGAACGTCAGGGTGGGCTGGTTAAGAATCATGCCTCTTGCATGCTGAGAGGAGTCCACTGCAGCTTGATGGCAAAAAGACCTGCAGGGACCTTAGAGGCAAGCTGTGCCTGACTCCACTTTCCAGAGAGCCTGAGAAGGGAGCTGCAGCAACCCCCCCCCCCCCCCGGGCCGCCCGGGGGGGGGGGGGGGTGAAGAGGGTCTCTGAGCGTGGGTCTCAGGAGGGGCTGGAGAAGTGGCAGGGTCTGGCCCGTGGCTGGCTAGAACGAGGAGGCACCTGGCTGTTGCCCACGCCTGCCTGGGGGGCAGCTGTGGCCCATCAGCTTGAAGGCCTTCCTTGAGCCGTGGACTGTGGCTCCCCCCCCCCGTGGCAGTCCCAGGCAGGCAGGATTTCCCCCCCCACCCAACCCCATGAGCTGTTCTTCATGGTGGTCTCGGCTTGGCACACCACAGGTTCTGCAGGCCTGAGGCGACAGGATCTTGTCTAATGGAGAGGAGTGTGGGGGAAGAAATTGTGTCAAAAGATCAGATCAGGGACCTTCGACATGCCATTCCTGCATAGACCAGTGAGGGAGTTGCTCTCCGGTTCCACAGGTATTGGAGTCAAGCTGACCAGGTAGTTTGCATTGATGATGTCCCGTGAGAGTGTCCCCAGCGGGGAGCCGGAATCCTGCTGCTCAGGACCTCTCGGGCTGCACCCCCACCCCCACCCACCCCAGTGAGACCACAAACACCCCAGTGGTCTGTTGGCTGAATCTGACTAGAAAAGGCTTTTTGTGTTTGTTAACTCGCTCGTTCTGAACTGCATGTTTTAAAGCAGAGAGCTTCTGCTTCGCCATCAAACAAATCTCGGCACTGACTGCATTGTTCTGCACATATATGTTTGATTTAGGATTTTCTGCGAAATATACCTGATAGTGTTCTATCCTCAGAAATGCACAGTCTATGGATGGAAGCCATGGATAAAGAGACCCGAGCGCATAAGACTGAAGCGGTCAAAAGGTTTGTGAGCATTCCTGTCTCTCTGCCTTGTGACGGAGAGTCGTGTGCAGGCCACCCTGCGACTTTAGGCCTTCCCAGGGAGAAGCGGCATCCTCTGGCCTGCGCCTCTGGCCCACATGTTCCTGGTGTCTCACGTGGTCAGAGATTCCCTGCCCCACTTCAGTTGCTGCTGCTGCTGCTTCCGGGGCAAGGGTCTGGGCCGCTGCATCCCTCACTGGGGCTTGCTAGGAAGATGCGGGTCCATGGTAGCCGTGCATCCCCATCACTAGCTTGGGCCTCATTGAAGGACGGGCATTGCAGTGCCCAGCCTGTTCCTTTCTGCCTTGGTGCTCCGTGGAGCGCTCTTGCCATATCACCAGACATCCCAGGGCACTCCAGCGTGTTGCGGAGGATCCTGGGTGGCCTTTGAGGGGGCCTGCTCTGTTCACACGTGGCGTCCACCAGGCCAGCAAGATCCCAGGCTCAAGCAGCGCATTAGGTGCAGTTCTGGGGTTCAGTATTTTTGCCCAGCGCAGCCCTGCACAGGTTGCCCCAGCGGGAAGGAAGAGCAGGTGGGAAGGAGCCTTCCTGCTGCCCTTCCAGCTCTGGTCCTGTCCCAGCTCAAAATTCACACACACACACACACACCCTGCCAAAGAAGCTTTTTCACAGCTCAAGGAAGGTGGCGGAGAAGATACAGAATCCCTCCAGCTTCCCCCTCCCCTCCCCTCCCACAGGAGCAGCCCTGGGAGGGGGCTGGGCCCGGCTGGGCGTATCCCAGGTTGCCTTTAGGCAGCCAGAAGGAGTTGGGGGGGGACAGGCAGGAGGGGGCTTCGGGCCTGTTCATCCTTCCCCTGCCCAGGGCGCTTTGGGCGTTTCAAGAGTCCGCAGAATCTCCCCTCCTGTGACTTTTGAGGTCACGCGTGGCTTGGGATTCACCCCACATTTTCTTGGGGCTGCAAACTGCTGTGGTCTGGTCGTAGTCACACCGGCTGTCTTTCTTCTGACAAGCACATTTACAGTTAATTCACCTTGGAGATCCCTTAAGAAGCTTCCAGGGTACCCGGGGCGCTGCTGTGTACTTCATTCTGGAGACAGTTGCTGTCAGACATTAATGTGTGGGGATATTAACCCCCAAAGATTTTGAACATTTATCATTTGGATAGAATTCAAGATGCAAAACTCTCAAGGGCTGCGGTCACACGAGCAGTCCACGCCGATAGAGTTGTGTCACCTTTGCGGATTTAAAGAGCACAATCAGACGACACCTGCCTTTTGTGCCCCAGTCATCGGCACCCGGGTCCGGCCCGTCCTAGAAGTGGAGTGTGCCGGCACCTTCAATCTGCTTTTCCCGATGTCTGAACCCCACTGTTGGATGCCCGGTGGGAAGTGTGAACGGTCACTTCCATCACAGTCCGGGGGGGTGGGTGGGGGTTGCCTGGCAGGGAATGTGTGCATAAGCGCATATGAGCATGAGCAACCCCCACTGCCAGCAAGGGCCATGCTTCACACTGGTAATGTGGATGCTTCGGCGTGGGCTGTCTGGTTACCCCTTCCCGTGATGATTTAAACGGCTGCAAACAGGGGCACCGCCAGACTGCGCCAAGCCTCCATTGTGACCGCAGCCAAGGTCTATGTCCGTGAGGAGAACTCAGCTGTGAGGCAGAACCTGCCCTGACCCTGGGGGAGAGGCTTGCCTTAGAGGAAATGTCCTCGGAGCCCCGGGGGGGCCCTTCTCCAGAGCCCTCCCCCTTCTGTCTCTGGCCACAGGGGGGCAGGGGTGACTCTTCCCCTGAGAATGCGATGGCGTGTGTCAGGGAGAGGGAGGACCCGTGGGCTGTGTGTTTTCGGGAAAGTTTTTTACAGCATGCTGGGGACCCCCCTATCCTGACATCTTCTCTTGGTCCAGTTTAGTGAATCAGCTCCCAGAAGCGAACCTCATTCTGCTCAGGCACCTCTTCGGAGTCCTCCATCACATTGAGCAGAATTCCGTGGAGAATCAGATGAATGCTTTCAACCTGGCCCTCTGCATCGCCCCCAACATGCTCTGGCTCCCCGGCCCCACTGGGCCCGAGGAGGAAAGCAGGTCTACCAGGAAGGTAGGGCCCCCACCCCCCGTGAGATCCTGCCCAGGGTCAGCCTGCCTGGGGAGGCTTTTGCGTGACCCCAGATACAACTGACTGGGGATGGAAACGGTGCTTGACAAAAAGCTGGAGTCACCGTTACCTCTGCAGAAACAGGGTGATCGGCGGGCCCGGGGGGGGGGGGGGGGGTGCGTCTCTCGCTGGACTGGGCCGCTTCCGACTGCAGCAACAGATGCTTGGGTGGGGCAGAGCGTGCCTGAGGGGACTCCTGCCCACACGAAAGCAGCAGTGGGGGAGGGTTGGAATACGGGTCCGCTGGGTCCGCGTTCCGGCTCCTCACAGTCCCTCAGGGGGAGGGTGGCCAGAACCATCTGCTTTTGAGTGTTGCGATCCCCAGTCTCACCCGGGCCACTATTCCCTTTGGCAGGTGGCCATGTTGGTGCAGTTCCTGATCGAAAACTCAGCTGAGATTTTCGGAGGAGATGCTGCTTCGCTCTTTCAAAGGCCGGGGAAAGAGAAGCCGGGAAGAAGCACTGGCGACTTGCGGGGTGAGGCTGCGGCTGTGGTGCTGACGGGCCACCCTTTTCCGTACTTGTGATCCACCTGAAGTCCCAAAATGAGAAGGGCTGACGATAAGCAACAATAACAGTAGTCCATTCGGCAGCCCACTAAGGAGGAGAGTGTCAGAGAGACGTGTGGCTGGCTGGGCCTTCAAGGCCTCTTTGGTGATGAACTGGCCTGCTTATTATGGATCTATATCCCACATGCTCCAAGGGCTAGACGACACAACACTCTCAACTCGCTTTGCTTGCAGCTGCACAGCACCTGTGGTAAATGTTGTTTTCAAAGCCTGTGCAAGTCCAATTCAGCTCAGAACGATGGTGTGGTGTCCGTCCGTCCCCGTCCCCCCACGGCCATTTTCCTGAGCTGAAACAGCCCTGGGAAGGAGTTACTTGGCTCATTTCGGAGCCATGCTTCACCAAAGCCATTTCAGCTTGGGAAACCAGCACAGAGGGAGACAGGACCCCGACGCCATAGTCTCAAGTTGAATTGGGCCCTAGCAGGCTCTAAGTTTCCCACAGCTGCTGTGTGGCAGTCGGGAGGGAGAACATAGACCTGACATATCGTGCATTTCGGCCCCTGGTTTACTGGTTTCCGTGGGAGCTTACAGTTAAAACAGTCCTCAGCAGAATAATGCAACTTGCTTGGGGCATGAAATCTCCTAAAAATATCACTGGCCGAATCTGCATCTAGCATTTGCTCCGCTGTCTTACAAAACCCACACTGGAACAGAAATTCCCGTCTACATGGCATGCCACTTGCACTTTGATGGATTGTCGCATTTTATGGCAGCGTCCAGACTGCAGGCCACTTTCACTTTGTTTGATCTCTGGTTTTATGGCGGCCGTCTGCATAGATTTATGGCCGTTTTATGGCCATTCAGGGGTGACTCTGCAGTCAGTACGGTGTTGGCCCCGGGGGATAGCTGAATGTGGTTTTGAGCCACATCTTTTTCTGTTCCACTGTGAGTTTGGTACAACAACGGAGCAAATACTAGATGCAGATTGGGCCACTGTTTCCTAAAAATTGCAAGGCTAAAGTACGCAAACACAACCCACTCCAATTAGCTCCGAAGTCAAATTGCTTTCATACATGCTAAATAATCCGGTTTCAATCCACTTCAGCAACTGTTTGCAAGTGGATTCTGCCATTTCACACAGTAAAAGCCAGTTGCGAAGTGCATTGAAAGTGGATTGAAAGTGTTACGTAGTGTGTGTGTGAAAGCGCCCGTAACGCAAGTCTTCACCTACAGAGACAAACTGCCTGGGCTGGGGGCCAGCCGAACTCCAGGGGCGTTCCACAGGTGAAGGGCCACTGCAGAAAGGACTCTGTTTCTGGTGACCGCCCACCTCACTTTTGAAGGCAAGGTGATCAAGAGCAGCGCTTAGGCAGGGGCTGACTTGCAGCGTAGGATCATGCGCATGCATGTCCACAAAGAGGGCCCAAGCAGCCATGGAGCGGATTTCACAGTTGGTGTTCATTGAAGCTCCTAAAAACAAAGTGTCAAAATGGTAGGCGGAGAAACAAAAGTCCTGTCCTGCACCAGCCAGCCACACCGGCCACTCAATCTGGGGGAGGGGGTGCCAGTGAGCACAAGTTTGTTGAGCGAGGCCAAGAGGCCCGGGGGGGGGGGGGGTCCCTTCACTGGAAGTTGGCACTGTACTGATGGACTGACAATTGTTGGTAATCAGTTAGAGGGTAAGACAAAATCAGAATGAACGTGTGTCTTTGCCCAGCAGCTCAACACAACGATTCCTCAGACGAGATGGAATTTGCTGCTTCCTACCAGGAGGCCTCAAAGCCGCCTTATGCGCTGGGATTCACAGAGGACGGTGTATTCAGCCCGCCTGGCGGGTTCCAGCTCAACAAGGAGGAAGAAGACTGGGACTTGTTCAGCGAGATCACCGCTTGCTACCAAAGCAAAGCCCGGGAGGACGCCAGTGCCGACAGCTACGAGCTCCTGCGGGAAGAGGCCCCCTTCTGCTCCGTGGGCTCCATCTGCTCGCTCGACCCCGCGAGGAACCGGTGCTCCTCGGAGCCCAGCGTCTGCCTGAGCGCTCAGCTCCCCGCCCAGGACCACGAGCCGGTGGCCCGGCAGTCCAGCTGCGATGCCGCCCTCCTGCGCGGCCAGGGAGGCTGCCTCCGGAGGCTTCAGCAGCTGCAGCTGGAGAGCCAGAGGCTCCTCGGCGAGGGCCTGAGCCCAGGGCCGGGCAGAGCCAGGCAGGCATTCTGGTGGCGCTCCCTGGCCCCTGGCCGCAGCTTAGCAAAGAGCCTCAGTCTGCAGAAGTCAAGCCCGTCCAACAGGTCGAGTTTCTCCAGCCTGTCCTCGCCCACCACGTCCCCCTCGGCCTCCTCCCTCAGCTCTCTGGACAGCGCCTTCTCCTACTGCTCCGAGTCGTCTGCCCTCAGCCCCACGGACGCCTCCTCCCTGCCGCTCCTGTTTGGCACTTCTGCCAGACTCCAGGCCTCGTCCTCAAAGGGGTCCTCGAAAGAGCGGCAGCAGCCTTTGGCCTCCCCTCTGCCCCTGCACCCCTGCAGCTTGGAATTGCGTGTTGAGAGGGGGGGGCAAGAGTGGGAGAGCGGCGGCAGCCACGGGCCAGCCAAGAGCGTCATGCCCATCCGTGTTTTGGGAAGCCTCCATAGTGAATGCAGCTGGGAAGCAGGCGAGGAAGAGGTGAGGCAGGCAGGGACTCTCCCCGGAGGCCTTGTGCCCCACGACCCTGGAGCCTCACGCCCCAGGCCTCCTGCCTCTGATCGGGAGAGCATTCCGGTGGTGAGTCGGCACGTGCAGAGAGAGAAGACAGTGAAGCACATAGAGATAAAGGGCCCAGAGGCTGCCCCTCACCGTCAAGAAAGACTGAGACGCACCAAGATAACAGTGTACATGGCCCCAAAAGAAAGGAGCCCGCTGGGACAAGAAGGCGAGGATGCGACTGCAAGTGCCAGCTCAGATGGTGGCAGCAACCCAGAGGTTCCCCGGAGTGTGCGCACAGTAAGAGTTCCTATTCCCCAGACGGTGTTTTATGGGCAACACACCCCGTTGGTACTCCAGTCCATCTCCAGAAGGCACCACCGTGAATCGGTGAGCCAAGTGGTGATCCCTCCAAGTGCCCCTCCCCTGGAACACAGCAGGTGGCAGCAGGCCCCAAGACCCACGCCAAAGAATGCGGCGGCGGCACCTTCAGCCACACCTTCCGCATCCAGCTCCCGACCGCCATCTGCAACACCGTCCGGGAGTACTTCAGTCACGACAGTCCCAAGGGCTGCCGCTCCGTGGATGCAGACGCCGTGGAGGGTGAACTCGTCCGGAGCAGGGCAGAGTGGCTGAGACACCAGCCCTGGGCTGGCTCAGCAGCCAAGGAGCAGAGTAACTTGATGTTGGCAGAAGAGACATTTGTCTAGGGGCACCACATCGAAAACGAGGGTCTTGGCAACATTGTGGGCTTTTTAATGATAGGGTGGGGTGTGAAAGAGTCATGTACGATACAAACCTTGGTTGGAGGAATCTTAACAGGTTGCCTCAATCAGCACACGAGTAAATATGTAAATAATATTGCAGGCTTCTTCTTAATTATATTTTCTGCTCAGCAAACAGGAAAGGAAGTTTACTTGTCTTCAGTCTGAAGGGTAGCACAACACCCAAAGCTTTAGAGCAAAGTCGGAGTCCAGAGGGGGCACCTTTAAGACCAACAAAGTTCTATTCAAGGTATGAGCTTTCGTGTGCAGGCAGATACAGTGAAACAGAATTCCCTCAGCCATTACATAATTCCGTTTCACTGTGTCTGAAGAAGTGTGCCTGCACGCAAGAGCTCACACGTTGAGCAAACCTTTGTTGGTCTTGAAGGTGCCCCCACCGGACTCAGACTTTGTTCTGCTGCTTCAGACCAACACGGCTGCCCACCTCAATCTACTCAGAGCTTTAAACATACCGGGGAACTGCACATGTCCTACTTTGTCCATTGCCCTTGCTAGAAATCTCAGAAAGGCAGTTGGGCTGAGTTGATCCAGGTACGAGGGAAGCAGCACTCAAAAGTATCCAAGGAACCCAAAACACTGAGGGTAAATAAGACTCAGGGCCGTAGCCAGTGGTGGGGGAGATGGGGCGGAGCCCCCTATTGATTCTGCTGTGCCCCATCTCAATCTCTCCCTTTAACTTCAATTAATTGCGAATTTATTCATTTCACTATTTCCTCACTGCACAGCAAGCCGCCACCACGCCAGCCCAAAGCGCAGCGATCATGCTCGATGGATCGCTTAGCCGGTAGCTGAGCTCCTCAATTCTGGAGGAAGTGGCCGCCCTTAATCCTGCCCTGCAGCCGGCTGCTGCGTGTCATCCAAAGCCCATAATGAGCTCCCCCCACACACTTCCCTCCTCCCTCCTATTCTCGGTGTTCTGCCAGATGGGGCCGGGAAGCTGGATATGGCAAGACGCTTGGGCCCAGCATGCAGTCCCCCTTGGGTGGCCGAGGAGAGAGCAGGGAGCCCGGGGCGCTGCTCCGCCTGCCCGTCTCCTGTGCTCTGCTGCCTCACCACCGGGCTAAAAGTTGAAGATACAGGCAACGAGCAAGGAATCCATTCCTTTCACACACATTTGCCAGCCTGTTTCCTCCTTCATTTTGGGTCGATGTGATCACAGTGTTTCAGGTTTTGTGATCAGGCCACTCCCTGTTTGGATCTGGTTGGCGTTCCCTGCAGCATTTTGTGGAAGTGACGCTCGAATCCCACACAGCGCCTTCATCTTTTAGATCTTTTGCACATGCGCGTGAACACACACACACACAGCCCAACTAAACTCACAAACCAATACAAGATGTTAAAAATGCTCTTGGGGAACTTTAATTAAATTACCTTTAATCTAATTAGCCACTGCCACCTAAGGACTTTGAATGCCCCCTGACAAAAAGATTCCTGGCTATGGAATTTTTCAACACCTTGAAAAATGCTACCAAAAAGGTGGGTTAAAAAAAAATAATTCACACAATGGCAAGTGAAACCCAGAAACAAAAAATTAACTTTGCGTCCCATTGTCGGCCTTTGCCCTGAATTGTTTTTTAGTGATTTGTTTGTGTGGCCTGACCACGTAGCTCTGGTGCTTACCATCAAGCAGCTTGCCCAAGCCCGGGGGGGTGGGGGGTGGGTGTCCTTGCGTTCATGAAACGAACTGTGTGAAATTCCCTCTGGGTCTCTGCGCTGGAAGCTCCCACCCAGGCCCGTGAGCTCCCTTCCACATGTGCCTGCCTCCATTTCACGCCATGTCTCTCTTGAAGCTGCAAATCCTTGTGACACGAATTTCCCAGAGAGCAGCCTTCAGTCACTCAACTAGGCCCAAAAGCCCGAACCAAAGAACAAGGCCAGTTTCTTGATATGGAGAAGACAGGATAATGAGGGCCATCAAGTCGCAAATGGACTTACAGTGACCCAAAGAAGGGTCTTTTGAGGCGAGTGGGAATTGCTTTCCACTGCAGAGACTTCCTTGGTGGTCTCCAAGTACCAGCCCTGCTTTCTTGCTGAGACATGTTTGGGCTATTCCATGCTATCTTCCCTCCCTCCCTAAAAACAGAATAATCCTAAATGTGCTTGTGTGCCCACAGGCCCAATGTTACTTCCTCCAGGTTCATGTACGTAGGATTGCAGCCTTTCCCATTTTCAGCTGCTTTCATTGATTTTCACCAGAACCTTTCCCAGAAGCTCTTAAAAGCAGGCCCCATACGTACTCCTTGGTTTCTCCATATGACATACTTACTTCAGTTGTGGCTTTTGAGAAGGAAAGTACTTTTTTAAAAGAGTAGGCAGTGGAAGTCCTTTCTGTCTAAAAACTCAAGTGACTTTCCAGGTCACTTTTTGGAAAACTCAGGTAGTTTGGGTTTCGCCCAATGCCCAAAGAGTTGTGGAAGCAGGAAGGGGAGGGATTGAGCACGTGATGTGGTGATGGGAGAGAGGTTGGTTGGCTAATTGGGGTCTGTTTGGGGGGTCTGTTTTGCACACGGGGAAGAGCTGGTCCTGTTGGAGCTCTTGTAGGCTGTGGGCTGCCTTTCGTGTGGTTTTATGGGAGTGCTGTGGACCGTTTTGCACAGCTCACCTGTCCTCATTCAGCCTGCCCCAGCTCATGCTCCACTTCTAGTTATTTTATATGAAAGTGAGACCTTCATCAGACAAGGACTAGCATACTCATCAAGGTCCTCGTTCTGATCGCTCTTTACCCCTTCTTCAGCATCAAAGCATTGTTAGTTAAGCTGTGGGGTTTTTTGCATACTCCCACACCCCACACAGACATGTTGAGCATTTCATCTGCTAACTGGTACGTGGCTGTGGCTCAGTTGCAGAGCCTCTCCTTGGCATGCAGAAGGTCCCGGGTTCAATCCCAGGCAGCATCTCCAGTTGAAAGTGCCAGGCAGCAGGAAGAGATGTGAAAGACCTCCGCCTGAGACCTTTGAGAGCCACTCCCAGGCAAGAGTAGATGACACGGACTTTGGTGGACTGACGGCCTGATTCAGTAGAAGGCAGCTTCATGGGTAATGTTTTTTTTTTTGGGGGGGGGCTATGGAACTATCTCTAGGTTCCTTTTTTCCACCCGAAATTTTAGCACACTACATGAAAAGTATTTCTGGTTGTAGGATAACACTGCCAGGCTTGTCCATCAGCCAGAACCCCCTGCTCTGAAAAGAGAAGCAGGGGTGTGGAGTGTGTATGAAAAGCAAAGCCAGGAGAAAGCGGACAACAACGAATGGGTAGCAAACTGCATTGGAGAAGCACAGCTCTGGTCCCGGAAACCCTGGGATGTTTCCAAACAGGCCTGTTTCGTCTGGGGTCCCTCAGCCTGATGGTCATTAGCTGTTGCTGAGATGCCCGGATGGGGAACGTCACCAGCGGCTTCTCTGCTCCTGTTGTGTCATTTTGCAAAGGGGCCTGTGTGAGAGCACAGCCGAGAGCCCCACCCTGGGCACATTTACTGAAAGGGGAATGAGGGAGGCTGCAGGAGTTTGCAGGCTTGGGAGTGCAGAGAGAGTGAGAGAGGAGGCCCTGGCCGAGAGGAAGGGCTCCTTGTGGAGTGCTAAGGAAGGGGGGCTAAGGAACGGTGGGATGTGTGAGGGAGGGCCGCGCGAGACTGAAGTTATGGATCCACACCACCCTGGAGAAGACCAGAACAAAGTTAATTTGCTATATTTGATGGGTTTAGGCTGCCTGCTCTTCCCTCTGCTGGCTCCCCAGAGTTCTTGCACCAAAAGCAAGTGACAGAACTCTTCCTTCTAATGGCCTGGTCACTGGAGCTCTGGGGCATGCAAGAGGAGGACAAGGGCTTCTGTTGAGGAAGGGAGGAGGATCGGGCCGCCTTCCTTGCTCTGTGGGACGGGGAGGCCTCCTCCTCCTCAGCCAACCTGTGTCTGCTTTTGGTCCCACTTGAGCTGGCTGGAATCAGGCTCTGCTTATACCACAAACTCGCCACTGTCATTTCTGTCTCGCGCATAAATTCATTAAAGAGCTGTTTTGACGCTATGGTTGTAAATAATTCATTAAAAACACACTTTTCTTTGTCAGATGTCTGCTGACTTTTTTCAAGTACTGCTACAAAAAGGCTGGTTTGGATCACAGAGGATATTTAGAATTTCCCAGTCAGAAGGACTCTCCTCCACCACTTCCAGCCTTGGGGAGGAGGGGCCTTCCGCCAGGAGGGGGGCAACGGTGGATGGGCCAGTGAGGACAGGGAGAGGGTGGGGGACGAAGAAGCGAGAGAGAGACGCAGGTAGGCCCTAGGGGAATCTATGCCAAGGATTGTCCTGACTCATATTTATACGTCAAGGTTTTGTTTGAGTTGAGTTGGAGGATGAAACGGTGTCGTTGGGACCCCGAGAGAAACCGGGGCAGGTGCTCTCCACCAGCTGCTCCCCAGGCCAGGGGGGGCCCTAGTTATGTGCTGAGAGGACACGTCCTGGATTGTGCCGGAGGATTCCTAGGGAAAGGGAGCTTTTGGATCGGGGGCTGAAAGAGCAGAAGGGCTTAGCTGGAGATGCTCTGAGCCCGTGGAGATTAGCGGGCAGATCTCCAAGTCCAGGAGGCCGCATCCGTCCAAGTCACCCATCAAAGGCCCACTCCTGCCACCCCCTCGGAAAGGGGGGAGGGAGAGCGCAGAGGCTGCCCCCAAGAAAACACCAAATGGGTTCTTTTCCAAGAACAGCATGAGCCAACCTGACAAGGGGACGGTGTTAATCTGTGAGCTGGAGAGACACTTGAGGATGATTGCCCCAACGTATATTCTGCCGTCTTGGAATTCTCTCAGTTTGCTCTCCACATCACAATACTCTCCCAGTCAATATTCTCTTGTCAATATCTCTCCCCACCCCCCCAGCCAACACCTCTAACTTTTTTCTCTTTCTCTCTCTGACCCCTTTATGAGCATAACCTCCGTCAAGGCTCCTCTCTCTGGTGTTCCGGGGTGGTGTGCTCTATGCTGCCTCCTGGCCTTCCTGGTTTCCGCTGACACCAAAGGCTCCCGCCTGGGAAGTCTTAGGCCGATTCTCCACAAGCAGCTGTGCCGCCCTCGCTCTTCCGTTTCCCCGCTTGCATTGGTCAGTTTCACACTATTCCCACTACTCCAAAAAACAAGGATCGAGAAGACGCGGGGGAAATCGGGGGAGCTGCGGGTCAAAATGCGGCCGCGCAGCAAATAGTGTGAAATTGACCAATGGAAGTGGGGGGAACAGAAGCGCGAGGGTGGCACAGCTTTTAGTTGGACCCAAAGAAGAGGAGGGCTCCGTCGTATGTGGGGGGACGGCAGGAGGGTCAGCGCGTGGGGGTGGCTCTGGGCTAAACGAGGGTCCCTCACTCTGCACAAAACAGTTGTTTTCACTTAAACACAAACAGAGCTTATTTATATAAGTAAAACTGTGTGACGGTTTCTGCACGGTGAATAATCTTAATGGTTTCAGAGAGGTACATAAGCTTAGGTTCCTTAAACAGGTTCCTTAAACAGACCTCGCCACACAGGCTTATTTTCTCACTTGCCACTGAGGCCAATAACTCCCCAACTTGCTACCCAGGCTAATAACTAACAACACACACACGGTATTTACATGGCAAAACACCACAGGGCTAAACGGGGCGGGGGAAGAATGACAGGGCGGCCATTTTGAAAGTGGAGGTTAGCAGCATCGCCGCCCACAAATACCAGGATTTCCCATTCCATGCGCCATCGCAGCATCACTTTGGGGGTTCCATTGACAGTGATGTCGTGATGCTCTTCCTGTTTCTCCTCCTGGGGCCCAGAGGGAAGTGGCAGGCAGGTCGCTGTGCAAATGTGAGAACGCCTCCAGCCCTGGTTTAGTGGCAAGCTTTGGTCCCCCTTCCCCACAGGGCTGACGGAGGGAGTGTTCACATATAGACCCTCCCTCTATAGCCACCCCAAAGATTCCCCTTTGAGCAGGAATAAAAAAGGGCGTGTGTCCGTCCCCCCCCCCGCTTAAAGGGGAAAGCTCCAGGAATACCACAGATCTGACTCAGAATGATCACCATGTCACATGGACATTCCCAATTAATGCAGGGGGGAAATCTCCGTGTGGAAGCACGTGGAATGGAAATTTAATCTGAATAAGCCACAAGCAGACATGACTTTATGAAACAGACGTGGTGGTGGTGGTGGTGGTGGGTATCCGCCGAGGAAGGGCGTTTAGTGGAGCCCCTGCCGGCTACTGTTTGCTCTGCTTCTCCACTTCCAGTTCTTTCCTGATGTCAGAGACCTCCACGGGGACCTGGGCTGTCAGGCCATCCATCCACTTCTTTACGCGCACCTGGCAGCCAAGACGAGACCTGAAAAGGAATCCCAAAGTCTGCGTTTCTGCTGTACATTTTCCTAGCACCCACTTAGCAAAGCAAGGTGGTGCCTCAATAATGCATCCCTTAAGCCACTAGATGGAGCTTTAAAGCTCCCAGGTTTTGCAATGGAGAAAGACAAGGGCAGCAGTGTGTGTGCGTGGGGGAGGAGAGGGCCACATCCTATTCCTGAAAGTTAGGTGATCACCACGATGCAGGTTTTTACACCCTGAACAGCCAAATGCAGTGCAACTTTTGTGCTGACTGCTTTGAGAATTCTAGAGTTCTGCCAGGTAGGCATCCTACCTTAGCCAGAAAATGTTTGGTGGGGGAGGGTACCGAATAATTTTAAAAAAATAAATAAATATAAGAGAGGCTTAAATGAGAGACAAACCCCTCGTCCGGAACAGACCTGCATCCCTGTGCACATTTACTCGGAAGCAAGCAGCAAACCTACTTCCAAGTAACTGTGTTTAGGATTGTTTTGCTGGACCTTATCCTGGAAATCTCTCTTTAGAACTCCTGCACATGCTTACTTAGGTGTAAGCCCCACTGAACCCAGTGCAGGGTGACTTCTGAGTAAGCGTGCACAAGGATCAGGCTGCAGGGGACAGGAGTGGGAACCAGAGGGGGGGGGGGGGGTTTTTCAAAAATGAAGTAACAAGTTTTGTGCAAAAAAAATCACTCTGAGATTTGAATTTGCAAAGTTTGCAGAGAGAGGGAGGGAATATTGGGGACGGAGAGAGGATTTTTGACACTTGCTGGTCTTGCAGATTTGAGGACTCTCCTGCCACACCAATAATCATTCAGGCTGCTGGCCCTCTCTCCCCGCCCTGAACTGCAGATTTAAAATATGTGCAGTTCTGTTTCTGTGTGTCATTCTCTTCTCTGCCCTGCTGGAGATGTTTGTCTGTTTCGGTTTGACTAGACAGTTCCAGTGTAGTTACACCGTCCCTGCTCCCCCCCCCCGCCCCCCCAGCAGGGGCCCATGTGGTTGCTTCCCCACAGTCTGTTGACCTTCAACGTGGCCTCTGTGGCCTGTGCTTTCCACTCTTTTATTAGGAGATAATAGCAGACCTATCACTCTTTTCAGCGAATTCAGTCTCTTTTCAGTCTGAATTTTATTCATTTGTGATACATTTTCAAATGGGGTCTAGTTTTTTCTACATTTTAATAATCTGCTCAGAACTAAAAAGCTAAGAGGCAGTATGAGAGAGAAAGAATTATGAACAATCTCTCCTTATTCATCTGCTATAGCCAGTGATTTAGTGCAGCTTGCAAAGGGTTTGAAAGAACAATAGAACAACATACTACAAATGTTCCCTCTAAGCCACGGAGTCTTGTGAGCCAAAATTCTTCGTTGTGAGCTCCTGGCATTAAAGTTGTGAGCGAGCGATTTAGCTACTGCATAAATTAGTTTGCCCTGGAGCCATCCTTCCTGAGCTAAGTCAACAATTTGTGAGCTGGAGGCTAAAAAACTGTGAGCTGGCTCACACTAACTCAGCTTAGAGGGAACACTGCATACTACAACCATCAGAAAACAACCCCCAACAGTTTTCCGTTGTGGTAGTTGGGAAAGGGGTTCTGTGCCCCTTCACAACAAGGGTTCCATCAGGTTCTGCTCTCTGACCTGGACAGTCCAACTGCCTCCGCCCTCATCAGGCGTTGCTCCCTCAGTTTCAAAGCTGTATTTGCAGCCATGTGGACTAGAAACTTTTTCTTCAAGCTGAGACACTCCAAGTTGCTGAGCTGGGCACTGTTCCTGCCCCACAGAATGGGACTGCGCAAGGTCCACGGACACTTACGTGTCTGTCAGGCCGTAGGCCAGGTCCAGCATGTCCAGCTCCTCAGGCGTGACGGGGTCCAGTTGCTGGAAGGCCCTGTCATCGAAGATGAGGTGGCACGTGGAGCACGCCAGGGCCCCCTCACAGGCCCCTGTGGGGAAAAGGCAGGGTCAGTGGTGGAGGGGCCAGTGGCCCTGGAGCAGCCGTGGAGAGGAGCAGACAGGGGAGGGGAGGAGGGGCAGGGAGGGGGCAAAGAGAGGAGAAGGCGGCTTCCCCACCCGGCCGCCGCCAGTTTTCTTGCCACAGTCCCTGCAGCAGCCGTGTCCCTCTGGCACCACCAGTCCCTCCTCCCGAGGAAAGGGAGAGGGGTGCCGCCCTCACTCACCAAAGCCATCGATGCTGAGGTTCTGATTCACCACCACCTCCAGCAAGCTTTCCCCTTCTTTAGCTGTGGCTGAGAATTTCTCTCCATCCCGATTTATAAAATTAATTGTTACTCTGTCTGCAGAACTTGGGGGGGGGGGGGGTCAAAGACAGAAGAAGGACCCGTTAGGGAACTCGTTTGTTTCATTAAAAAAGGTCTCCAGCACCTCTCCCAAGAACGAGCTCAGGGTGCCTTGCGGAGTAAAACAGGAAGAGACTTAGGACAGCAGGCAATAGTTTAAAATGAAGAAAGCATTCAGATGCAAAGCCACGTCTAATTAACTATGACGAGAGCAAATGATGTTACAAGAACACTCCAGAATGGACACCAGGACAAGGTGGTCCCAATCCTCTGCACGTCAGCTGATCCGATTGCAGCCCCTACCCCCTCAGGCCAGGCTCCCCGGCCCCTATTCAGAGGCCTGGTCACTGCCCACCAAGAGGGAGGGAGGGAGGAAGATTCCATGAGCCAAGAAACATTTCTCAGCCTTCTGTGATATTTCATTTGTCACTTTCCTCTCTGGACTTTGGGGCCTAAAATTCCGGTCCTGCTACTTAGGAATCTAATACCTCGTTTCCTGGCCTTTCCTGTGGAAGGCTGCCCTTGAGTCCATTTTCAAGCTCTCAGAGATTCTGATGTTCCCTTACTGGACAGTTCCAAGAGCAGCAAAGAATGCCACATCTCCTTGACTTCTGGGAAGCCGGAACACACTTGTGGGAGTGTCGATCTGAGAACAGGCAGAGGGACCATCTGCGCCGGGTGGGGGTGGGGGTGTGTGTGGACCATTCAGAAAGCAGCCGGGCAAAAGGTTTGTTTGCAATCCTGCAACCTTGGCATGTCCTGCTGCTGCGTTCTCCCCCACCCACCCAAGGGCAGCCTTGGGACTTGCTGTTCCAAAGGGGGGGGGAAACCAGGGGTTGTGGAAGGCTCCCCCCTCCCCCCAGTCAGGAGCAGCAAAAACAGGCTGGGGGAGACCAGCTCAGCTTCTACTGCAAATAGGGCTGCCTAAAGCTCTCCTGGGATGACAACCGGCCTCCAGATGAGAGAGACCGTTCCCCCTGGAGGAAGGGGCAGCACTGGAGGGTGGGCTCTGCGGCATCATATCTTGCTGAAGTCTCTCCCCAGGCCCCTGCCTCACCAGGCTCCACCCCCAAATCTCCAGGGATCCCCCTAGCCCCGACTGCTTTGGGCAAACTGCCACGAGAGCCACGTTTTAGTCTTCCGCCTCTTAGGACAAGGGTGTCGAACTCATTTGTTACAAGGGCTGGATCTGACATAAATGGGACTTTGTGGGGCCGGGCTATGAGTGTCATAAGATGTAATGCCTGGCTCAAAACGTAGAAACTTTATAAAAGAGACAAACACAATTAAAGATATTCTATTTTTACTTAAAATACAAATATGCTTAAAACTCTTGCGATATTTCGTTTATTTAACAGTCTTTGATAACTGACACCTCCCAACCCACCCACCCCCCAAAGATGCCTGCCTAAAATGGAAAGGTGTGGGAATAGTGGGGTTTGGCAATGCAATTTTTAAAATAAAGCTTCAAGAAAAAGCACAAGGATGACAACAGAACCTAAAAATATAAACTGCCCTGAGCCTAGGAAAACATAAAACGGCTGGGGGCATTGGCATTGCAGGCATTGCAAGCTTCCCCCCCCCCCAGGTCTACTCAGAGTGGCAGTGGCTCTCCAGTGTAATGCCCCCCTTTGGCTGTGGGTTCCCAGGTTAGAGTACTCATTCGGGCACGCATTCTCAGGTCCATTCAGCAGAGACAAGCTGGCTCAAAACATCAACCCTGTATTTGCAAGGAGACAACTCCCAGAAGCAACCGCTTCAACTATACAAACACTGGAAAGTGAAACTTTTTGAGCTCCACGCCATTGCAACACAGACAAAGTTGCAAAGAAATGTGGAATGGATTTCCCACTAAGGTCTCTGGGCACAGATAGACTACGCTGGGACTGGAATGACATCCACTGGAGTGAAATTACAGTCCCCGGGAGTAGCAGAAGTGTTCTGGGATTGGAAAGAGGGCTCCCAGAGTGGAATTCCATTCCCAGAATGCTGTCATTCTACTCTGCACTCTGTCATTCCAGTCCCAGAGCACAGATTCTATTGCTAGGGACCATCATTCTATTCTGGGGGTTTCCAGTCCCAGAGTAGTCTATCTCAGAGACCTTAACGGAAAAATCCATTCCGTATTTTCTTTGTAACTTTGCAAGCCCAGAAGAGCTTCCTGCCCAAGCTGGCAAAGACAAGAGGGAGGGAGCTGGGAACTTCGGCAGCCTTCAGTTTCAAAGGGTGAGGACAGGAGGGGGAAGAAAAGAGCTGCTGGCCTGATAACAGCCATGGGCGAGCCACTTCCGGCCCGTGGGCCTTAAGTTTGACACCCCTGTCTTAGAAAGTCTGGGCTTGTCTCGCACAGGCTGAAATGCCTCAGGACCCACCAAGCAGGATACGGTTCAACAGCCATGCCCCACAGCCCTCGCCCACCATGCCCATTCCAGGCCTGCAGCCAAGCGGGGGTACCAAGGGTGATGGTGGCCGGGCCTGCAGCGTTTGGCTCAGTGGGTCACGGGCTGCGCCGGCCTGTCACCACCAGAGGGGGGCGGGTAGAATTATTCATTGGGGGGGGTGAGGCTGAACCCAGCCCAGGTCCATACTTAGTAATTATTTGTATTTCCGAAAACCATGTGCCTTCAACAATTAATCACGTGGTTTTTAAAATATTATTTTCATTCATCTCAGTTAAAGAAAGAGGATTCTGTAAGAGAAGAGGGAAAATATCATGCACTTCTTCAGTGAGGCAATTAGAGTCAGCCGTCCATGTGTGCATGACAGGGTGCTAGCCGGCAGCCCAAGAGGGGCACTGCCCCCCTCAGAAATATGGGGGGGGCATGAGCCTGGCTGCCCTCTGAAGTTTACACCCCTGCCTGCCACAGTCTCCTCAAGGGCCATGCACTCTGCCTGCTGGCCACGGAGAAAGAGAAATGCCGTGGGCAGGCACTTAGAGTGCCTTTCACCTGGGGGTGAACCTCTCCAGGAGTAAGGCAAGGTGGGCTTTCACGTGGGATTGGAAGGGCTGTGTCTGAATCACCCAGAGTGCTGAGACGCCAGGGTACCCCCCTCCCCCGCGCTGCCTTTCCCCAATCCTCCCTGTGTAGATATGCCGCAAAGGAGGGGGTTCCTTCCCTCGGAGTGACACACAAGGAAGGATCAAAGGCTGCCCACCCAGGCTCAGCCATGTAAAGGCATTTGGATTTGGGGCTCTGAGTCCAGGTCCCCCCTGGCCACCAGTGGGGAATGGGGGGGTTGGGTTGCCAGATCCATGTTAGGAAACCCCTGGAGATTTGGGGGTGGAAGCTGGGGAGGGCGGGGACCTCAGTGGGCTCCAAAGCCTCCATTTCTCCAGGGGAACTGAGCTTTGTCGTCTGGAGATGAGCTCCCCAGGCCCCACCTGGAGGCTGGCATCCCTCAAAGGCCCACCACCCAAGGCATGCCTCTGCTACTGAAGAAGGAAAGCCCAGCGACGTGCTCACCCAGTGTCCCCAGGGGCATCCTGGAGCCTGGGGGTGCCACGGAAGCCTCTCCCGGGATGCGGGCTGGCAGGAGCGGGGCTGCCCACAGCTCTCCCGAAGAAGCCCCCGAGGGCCCAGGCGGCTCTCTGCCCAGCAGCTCTGCTCAGCAAAGGACGAGCGATCCCAGAGAAGCCCTGAGGCAGCATGCTGAGCAAAGCTCCCGCCAGCGTCTCCGCTCTCTCTCCTCTCCTGCAGGCTGGCCAGCTGGGATCATAAGTGTGGCTGCTGGGGAGGCGGCAGCTGGGGGGGGGCTCACGCCGGCCCCTCCTACCCGGCCAAGGCCGCTGGGGCCGCCCAAGGCAGGGGAAGCCTGCTGGGCCTGGGGGTCACTCCTCCAAGCATTCCTTTGGCCCGGCTCCAGAGGCTCGGTAGGAGGGAAGGACGCAGCCTGGGGGCCAGAACCTCTCTTCTGTGCAAGAGCTCAGGCGTCCTGTTATGCACGAGGGCCTCTGAGCAGACGCAGAGTGTTTCCCCTTCACTCCGGCCAGCTCCAGCACAGCTCATTTGTGGAGGCGGAATGGCAGGAGTCCATCCAGAGCAGGGAGAGAGAGAAGTTACATCCGGCAGCCTTTCAGGGGCCACAGGACTGGCCTGGCCACACCGCTGGAATGGCAGCCTGGAGATTTGCACCCCTTGATTCGCACTATTGACAGTCCACCTTTCTCACTGGGACTCCAGGTGGGCTAGTACACGGAGCGAGTCAGGACAGTCAGCAGGATGGGATCGTATCCAGCAAACGGTGCCGTCGTAAGATTAAGGCTGTAGAACCAACCAGAAGTCTAAAAGCAGAAGCAAAGCAGAAGAATTTACATGTCACATTAAGCAATGCAAAAACTGCACAGCGGGATCCCGCTTACAGCCAGAGGCAGGGCCAGCCGGACACAGCAGTGCAGACCACAGTCTTGAATCATTTGTCCAAGTCACTTTGTGTGGTGTGTGGTGTGGTGCTGCCCTATTGCCTGTGCAGACACAAATACTGTGGCTTTGTATAGTTTGCAGGAAACCCAGGAGTGCAAGAGCCTTCCTGACCTCCTCAGGCGGGTCATTCCACAGGGCGGGGGGCCACAGCGGAGAAGGCCAGGTGGGGGGGGCGTGGTCGGTTTTGCCCGTTTGCAGGCTGGCCCCTGCAGAAGGCCCTGCTCGGAGGAGCGAAGCTGCCGTGGTGGAGCCCAGGGGGAGAGGAGGCCTGGCTGGTGGGAGGGCCCGAGGCCATGAAGAGCTTTTCCTGTGACAGCCAATGGCCTTAAGCTGAGTCAGGGAAGTGATGGGCAGCCCACGGAGTGATTGCAGAACAGTTCCCAATAATAGCTGAGCTGCAGCATTCTGCAGCAACTGGAGTTTCCGGACTGATTTTCAGGGGAGATCAACCTCTAGTGCATCAGAGGAGTCTAGTCTTGATGTTACGGTGGTGTGGATCCATGTGGCCAAATAAACCGTGTCGTGGTAAGGGGCCATCTTACAGGCCAGGCTGTGCTGGAAGAAAGCCTTTTTTGCAGCTGCATTGCTTCTCCAGTAACAACGCTGGGTCCAGGATAACCCCCAAGGCTCTTAAATGAGTCAGCAAGGGTCAGCTGAACCCCATCAGACGTGGGGAGCATGAGGCCTTTCAAGATGTGCCCCAAACTGAGAATGACTTGTCCTAAGGCTGCAAAGCATGGGAGATGGGATAGCGCCCTGTGGAACCCCACGGGACAGGTCCACACTGATGATAACTGGTATCCAGCAGCAACCCTTTGAGCCTGATCTGTGAGGAAAGATTCAAACCAGCTCAGCAATACATCCTGTATCAATGGCTAGAGATACAAAATCTATTATGAGCAACAAGAAGGCCTGGCCTTTGTCTATGCTCAGATGGAGGTCAGCGGCTAAAGCTAATAGAGCTGTTTCTGTCCCCAAAGCCTGACCAGAAGCCGTACTGAAAAGGGTCCAGGACATATGAGTTGTTCCTCTCCTGCCTTCTCAGTCACTTTGCCCAGAAAGGGCAGATTCGATTAAAGGGCAATAATTGGCCACATAGGGATAGTTTGTTAAGTAGCGGATGTATAACTGCCTATTTGAGTGGCTAAGGGAAAGGGCCCGGAGTTACTGACTGGTCTGTAACAGGTACTAAGGGTTTGTTGACGTGGTCCTGTCAGGACCCACAGCAACAACGAAGTACACACTTAGGGAAAGGTTTTACTTTTATTGAAGCTATAGATGCGTTGACAGGAACACTGTTAGGAATGGCAGGTAATCTATGCGCATGAAAGGTTATAGTTCATATCAGCAACACCCAATGACCGGACTTCCTGCGCGCGGGCAGTAGGCTTGGGAACAAACGGCTAACAAAGCAAAGCAGGCAAGAGCTTCCCATGACTCATCCTGGGTCAAGCCAAAGCAATCCCTCCAGCAACTCCTCCAGCGGCCTTGAAAGATCCTTGTTTCTACAGAGTGGCAATGAAGCGCAAGGGAAGGAATGTGCATGCAAGGAAAACATAGGAAACCTTTGGCAGCTTGCTGACAGGTCCTTACCTGATATAAGCAGCCAAGATGGGCAAGGATCCAGGGCACAAGTGGTGGCCTTCACATATCTTGGGATCTTGTCAGCATCCATCACAGAAACTGGGTCAAAGTGGTCCATAAACAGACTAGGCCATTCTTCTGGTGTACCTGTTACAACTGACATCCAGATCAAAGCATATCATATCATTTGCTCCTGGGACAAAAAAGGCCCAGGTTTAGAAGTCAGCAGATGCTGAGCAAACATGAACTGGGATGGTTGTGAATTAGCAGGTGCTGCAGGGACACGGAAGCCACGTTCCTTTGCAGCCGCCACCACCACTGCTTCGTGAGTCTCCCGGTGGGCTCTGTGGCATAATCTATCCGCTTCAGCACTAGGGGGGTTGCCAGGTCCCTGCGCCATGCTGGTGGGTGGATTTTTTTGGGGGGGGTGTTCCAGGACATCGCTGACACTATGTTAGTGCTGGTGGGTGGATTTGGGGGGGGTGTTGTGTTCCAGGACATCGCTGACACTATGTTATCACGTTGGCAACACTGTGTGGCGATGCTCTGGTTTAAGGGCAATACTCTATGGTTTTAGGCCAAATTTACCATAGAGTTTTGCCCTCAAACCAGAGCATTGCATGAAACATCCCCGATGTGAAGCCGCCACTTCCGGGTGATGTCATCACATTGGGGATGCCGTGCCCGGACATGGCTGTTTAGGGGCAGGGTTCCTCCTGCCAGGCAGAACCCCTGCTAGGACCTGGGGAATGGCAACCCTGTTCAGCACACGTTCTCCACCAGTGTCATTTTAGACATCTCCCGGCCTTCTTCAGGTCACCCAGTTGGGCTCCAAGGGTGGGAGTGGGCAATGAGGGGCAACCTCGTCCATAGCTTCAGGGAGTTTCACAGGCCATGCTCCCATTGCAGCCTCAGCAGAGCATGCATTTGGGCTCCTAAGAAACCCCAGGGCCTGCCAGAATCCAGCAGGATCCTGGAACCCCCATTTTAACAGGGCTGCTTCCCCAGCAGGGTGTCAGGGCCACATCTGAGTCCTTTCTGCATCCAACTGAACTGGGCTGGAAGACAGAAGAGTCATTTTGAAACACACTGAGCTCTGCACAGCTGGGGACCTGTTGAACCAAAGACACTAACTCTAAGCTGAGTTAGTGTGTGCTAGCTCACAGTTTTGTAGCCTCCGGCTCACACATTTTTGTCTGAGCTCGGGAAGGATGGCTCCAGAGCAAACTAATTGATGCAGCAGCCGAATCGCCCGCTCACCACTTTAATGCCAGGAGCTCACAGAGTAGAATTTTTGCTCACAAGACTCCACCACAGTTTAGAGGGAGCATTAGTCATAAGTGGAGCAGGTTTGACTTTCAAACTCACCATTCTGAGAAGCCCCCCTGCTCCAGCAAAAAGGGACCAGAAAGAGCCGCTCTTGGGCAGGCTGATGTGGAAGAAACAGGACACCGGAAGTCTGTGACTCAGATGGACACCCTGCCCAGTCCATGGCCTCAGAACGAGCAAGACGTTGGCATCCATTCCTGTCCCACCCTCAGGATGGTGGGAGGAATGAAGTTTCACCCATTTTATCCTCACAAAAAACCCTGCCAGGCAGGCTAGGCAGAGAAAAAATGACAGGTCGCCTGAGGAGTTGGACAGAGAGTGGGGGATTAAAACCCAAGCCTCGCCAGTCCAATGCTCTCCCCACTCGGCCTCAGGGGCTCCCTGGGGGAGCAGGCGGCCATGGCCACTCTCTGTCTGCCTCCCAGCTGTGAGCCACACATGGGGTCCTGTTCCTTGAACGGGGGTGGGGCCCCCCCTGGGCCCCCCCTTTACAGTGGAGTCAGCTTCCCTCCCGGCGGATGGGGCCTTGCTGCAGCCAGAGCTGGAACTCCTTGTGGCAAAGGCCAACGGGGTCCTTGGCTGCAGAGATCCCGGGAGAAACTGATGGCCAGGCTGGGGGAGGCAGAAGGACCTCCAGACACCGTCATGTACACAGGAACCAGCAGGAGCCCTCGCACACCAATCCTGTGCTGCACTGGAGGCTTTCTGGTTTGCAGAGCCATGGCAAAGACACATCGCCCACAATGCCTACGCTGAAGTCTGTGGTAGGTGCAACTGGAGATAATGTAAAAACCACACACACACACACACACAGGCTGATGTGGAGCCGCTGGGCAGATGCTGCCTTACTTTTCAGGTGTGAACACTACACATTAAAAAAAACACCACCACCAAACCCTTCTCTTAAGGCAGCGGTTCTCAACCTGTGGGTCGCGAACCCTTTGGGGGTCGAACGACCCTTTCACAGGGGTCCCTAAGACCATCGGAAAACACACATTTTCGATGGTCTTATTGTTTTTGTGATTAGTCACTATGCTTTAATTAGGTTCAATTTGTAACAATGAACATACATCCTGCATATCAGATATTTACAGTATGATTCATAACAGTGGCAAAATGACAGTTGTGAAGTAGCAATGAAAATAATTGTATGGCTGGGGCCCAGCACAGCATGAGGGGCCGTATTAAAGGGTCGGGGCAGTAGGCAGGTTGAGGACCCCTCTGAAGGACTGGGCCTGAGTCGGGTATCTGAGACGCTGTCACTTGATGGGAGGAGCCCTGGGGGAAGGGACCAGAAGGGCAGACTCGTTATTTA